GGGGGGGGGGGTGGCCACAGGGTGGGGTGTGGGGAGCAGCCCTGAGGTGTGGCATGGGGCATGCAGGGGGTGTGGCGCAGGGCATGCTGTGGGGAGCGCCCGCTGGCTGTGCCTGCATGGCACAGGAAGCAGCCCCAGGGTGTGGCGCAGGGTGTGCGGGTGGCATGGTGTGCAACGACAGGGAGAGGCGTGGGGAGCAGCCATGCTGCAGGGAACGCCTGTCGGCTGCAGCCACGTGGCACGGGCAGCAGCCCCAGGGTGAGGCACAGGGCTCGAGGGGTATGGCACAGGGCATGCAGGGGGGCATGGTGCAGAGAGCGCCCGATGGTTGTGCCTCAGTGGCACAGAGAGCGGCCCCAGGGTGTGGCGCAGGACGCGTGGGGGGTGTGGTGTGTGACCGCGGGGAGTGGTGTGGGGCGCAGCCATGGTGCAGGATTGCGGGGAATGCCTGCCAGCCATGTGCCACAGGCAGTGGCCCTGAAGTGTGGTGTGGGGTGCGTGGGGTGGGATATGGTGTGGGGAGTGGCCCTGGCATGTGGCACAAGGTGTGCGGGGGGGCATGGTGCACGTTTGCGCGGGGAGGGGTGCGTGGCCGCAGGGTGTGGTGTGGGTAGTGGCCCTGGGGTGTGGCACGGGGTGTGAAGTCATGTGTGGCATGGGGCATGATGTAGGGAGCACCCGATGACTGGGCCTGCGTGGCATGGGGACCTGCCACATGGTGTGATGCAGGGTGTGTGGGGGGTGTGGTGTGCAACCACAGGGAGTGGCATAGGGATCAGCCACAGTTCAGGGGCACAGGGAATGCCTGCCAGCCATGTAGCATGCCTAGTGGCACAGGGTGGGGCGCAGGGCATGGTGCAGGGAGCGCCCACTGGCTGTGCCTGCATGGTGTGGAGAGTGGCTCCGGCATGTGGCATAAGGCGTGTAGGGGGGGATGGAGCATGGCTGCTTGGGGGGTCGCGTGTTGCCACAGGGCGTGGCGCAGGGAGTGGCTCTGGGGTGTGACACGGCATGCGGGGGTGTGTGCCATGTGGCTGCACAGGGGGCTGGCATGTGGTTGTGGGGTGTGGTGTGGGCAGTGGCAAGGGTGGGGGGAGCACCTGTAGGCTGCAGCTGCCTGGCATGACCCTGTCCCCTGCACCTGCTTCCTGCACAGCACCCTGCTGCTGCATGGTAAGCGCCCCCTACCACACCCTTCTTGCGTGCCCTGCATGCCTTATGGCCACAGCCGCCCAACACTTCCTGCGCGAGAGAGCGTGCACCATGGGAGAAGGAGTGACGCGCAGCCACATGGTGCCATGCGGGGAGCAGGTGCAGGGGCACGCCCCACCCGCAGCTGTGTGTTGCAGCCAGTCGGTGCTACCCACCCCAGCCCCCGCCCCCCATGTGCCCATGTGCCAGCCTGTAGGGGGCAGCCTGCACTGCCTGCAGGGGGGCGTGACTTGTGGGCATGCAGGGGGAGCAAACGTGGTGGGCGCACCCTGTCCTGCAGCTGTGTGCTGCAGCCGGCGGGCACCACCCATGCCTGTTCCCCACGCAGCACCCTGTGGCCTCCTTGCCACTACCCCCCAGCGTGCCACGACTCCTCACCCATGCCGCATGCCACGCCCCCACCCCAGGCAGGGAGCACACCCTGGCCCCGACTGCCTCTGCCTCTTCCTCTATGTCTGTCTGTCCTTAGGCTCTGAGCCACACATGCGCAGTTGGCCCGAAGCATTATGGACAGACAGACACATAGGTGGAAGTGCCATGGCTTTTATTATATGAGAATATAATACAATTTATACAACTAGCAGAATAGAAGTCATGATAAAGGTGGGTAAGCACTCACATAGATTACTTAGAGACACTAGAAAATCTCCATCACTGGAAATGTTTGTGCAGGTTAGACAGCATCAGTCTGGGATGGTTTAGACAAGTCTGATCCTGCCTTGGGTAGAGGCCTGGACTAGATGACCTCCTGAAGTCTTCTAGCCCTGTTTATCTATGATTTTAATGATGCTCAGTAGAAGCTTTTCCCATGTAACATTTATTTCCCTATGATTCTGAGTTTCTGAAACATTCTTCTTTTTAAACCAGACATTTCTATGGGTAGTATCACTCATGAGTGATACCAGCCATATATGTAATCGCAAAACACAGGATTTTGAAAGAAAGTCTTAATTAGAAAAGTGGGACAGAGTCTGCATAGTAGACAGCGTTTTTGATATGCCAGGTCAATTTTAGGCTGGATCCCATTCTCAAATCTATACCCATCTCCTGTTATGAGGGTCAGAATTTCAAGCACATATCTGAAGGGCAGATACCAGGACTTAATAGGAGGGAGACATGGATTTGCAGCTATTGAAAAAGCTCTAAATTACATTGAATTTAATGGGAATATTTCCAGTGACATCAATGGGAAGTGAATCGGACATTACACGTACAACAAAATGGATGCAGATGTGTCTGCTCCACAGCAGAGCCTGGAAAGTCTACTAACCAAATATCTCTGAAACAAAATGCTTTCAGGCCTCATTGAGGAAGTGTGCAGCACTTGTTAAACCAACAAGCCAAATCATTTGAGATTCGTTTGTAATCTTTTCCCCCCTCCTCGTTTTTTCTTTTAATAGCAAGCAAACTAGGAGGTTAACTGGCAAACACTGTTAATTCAAGGCTCACGTTGCACTCAGAAATTTAGAAAAGACAACTTTAACACAGATGCATTGCACATATCAAATGCATCGCATTCCTGTGTCCCGGCTAAACCGAATCTTAACATGCCATGGTTTAGTTATAAAACCGAATCATAACTAACCATGGTTTAGTTATAAAAACTTATGTCCAAAAACCACAGTTGTTAGCAACTTACAGCAAGCAAAGTTGCCATTAAAATCTCTTTTTTTCTGGATTTATTTTTTGGTGATGGTCACATTGTAACATAGCTATATGGAGTGTTTTCCCCATCCCCTTCTTCATTTGTTTAGCTGCTTTAATTTTTAGAGGAGGAAAATAAAAATAATGACCCGTCATTATCTTTCGTTGGGGTCAGTTCTCAGGGTAGAGGGTTGTCTCCCTTAATCCATCTGTCTAGATTAGCTCTGGCTGGCAACTGTAGACTGCTAGCAGTATATCACAGAATCACAGGGCGTCTATGCATGCACTCTAGGGTGGGGAAATGCTTTAATTAGAGCGACTCTGAGAGCTGCTCTAATTAAAGTGCCTGCAGCATCACGTGGTGCAGCCTGGTGGCGGAAATGCTTGAACCAAAGCTCATTCAATGAGCTGTAATTCAAGTGCCCCGCCACCATTTTGAAGCACGAGGATCCTGAATAGACAGGATGTGGAGGCTGCTGGAGTGTATTAATTAGCATACTCCAGCAGACTCGATTAAGTGAGTCTGCTCCAATGCATGCTAATTAGCACATGTTGGAGCAGATGTCCAGCACATGTATAGGTGCATCACGGAGAAGTGGGGCTGGATGGGACCTGCAGAGATCATCTAGTCCACCCTCCTCCCTGAGGCAGGATCATCCCTATCCACACCATTGTCAGCAATCACTGTTGGAATAGCAAGTTCGGAAGAGGCTATGGTTTCTTTCCTTCCCTCCTTATTTGATAGCGCTTCGTTACAATTATGACAAATCAGAAAGGAAACGTGGAAAATAAATGCTGCGTGTTTGTATGTGTAATTGGATTCCATGAGCTAAACAGGTTACAGGGACCAGAGGTGATTATAAAGCAGTTTTGCAGCTTGAGAAAGAGGGGGAAATATTTTATGTTAGACAGAGAAGGGAAATACTTAAAAAATAACTTTTATTAAAAAAAAAAAAAAAGCATTAGTCTGCATTGATCCCTAGTGCCACAAGATTTCGTACCAGAAGAAAATGGTAACTCTTCCCCATCTCGTTTTTCAGAACTGAGAACATGTCAAAGACTGGGATTTTGAAGAGAGCTCTTTTGATCCCTTTCTTTCCCACTACTGTATTTTATAAATAGTCCTCTTCCCGCAGTGTCTGAGCACCTTCCAGTAATGCAGCAAACACCGCGGCCAACATCTGCCACGCATTTGTTCTGTTGCCCTCTTCCCAGGGAAAGAACTGTGCGTGTCCGACGGAGTGTTTTGTTATTTGGGACATTTTTATGACAGAGGGGGGAGTGTTTGGTAGAGGTTTTATGGGAAGGGAAGTTATGTGCATGCTGCTACTTAATTTGGAAAAGTCATTGTCAAAGTAGTGTGCCTTGCACTTGAGGCAGAAAGCGAGCACTTCAGAGAATTAAGGGGAACCAAACGCCTGCCGGCGTTGTTTCCATCTGCGCCGCCCAACCAAAGAGTAGACAGCAAATGCATGCTCTTCTGTTGTTGCTTCCAGCGCAAGACGGCTGTGCAAGCCGTCGGAGGCTGACCAAACGATGTCTGGAATGTGCGTCCCTGGGTTGTTTTGGAGATGCCGTGCAAATGACTCTTATCCCAGTTGTCCTCTTACATCACAGCGCCCGTCCTCAGATGTTTTCCTTCTCCGCTGGCGGAAATAGCATCTGCTAGCTCTGCCGCAAGCAACGACACTTTGATCCTGCTTTAGCATCTAAATGCAGCAATATATTTTATTAACTCCTTAGCTCCTCCCTTCCTCTGTGGTTTCTGGGTTTTGTGGTAACACAACGCAGCTGTGTTCTTCAGACAACCTCCACGGAGACAATGGCTCTCGTGCCACGCAGGGACCACACAGGAAGTGCTGTTCCTCCCATACGTCATGCACCTAAAAAACACAGCCAAACCTTTATGAAAGTTATTCTAGACCAGGGCTGGGCAAAATGGCAGATCCGTCTGGTGGACAGAGTCCATTTCCCAGCAGCCCCTGCCCATGTCACTGCGGCTGATTTCCATGCAGACCCCAGCAGCAGCGGTGCTGTGACAGTGTGGGGCTAGGGTTTCCACGAAGACCGGCCCCAGTAACGCTGGTAGGGCATGCGGCTGGGCCAGGAGGAGCTCCTCAGCCGGGGTTGGGATCCTACAGTGATGATCTGCTGCCTGCACGCCCCTGCCTGGGACATGCAGGCAGAGGGTTGCGGCTCTGCCCTGGTTCTGGACCGCAACATCCCTGCCCCGGAGCAGCTCCCTGCCCAGCTGCGTGCCCTGCCAGTGCTGCTGGGGTCAGTCTCCATGGAAACCCTGGCCCCGTGCTGTCATGGCACTGCCGCTGCTGGAAACTAACCACAGCGACACGGGCAGGGGCTGCTGGGAAATGGAGTCCACCACAAGCCCAGTGCAGCTCATGGCCCACCCCTGTTCTAGATGGAGGGCCAGAGCCAAATCATTTTCATAGGTGCCTCTAACAAAAGCATTGATTTATGTTGGTCCAGAGCATTCACAAAGAGTCGTCCAGCCATGAGCGTGCAAAAAAGTGCTGTCCGACTAGCTGACGCAGAATATGTTATAAAAATAAAGTAAAACTAGACATACATTGGCGTTAGCGGAGTCAACAGAAAATAACTCAAGCTTCACACGTGCAGATTCAGCACGTCGTATATCTCTCGGTTGCAGAGCCTGAACATTAGTTTGTCACTGAGGTTCCCCATACAGTTAATGGAGATATTTATTTGCTCCAAAAGGGTGATTCAGAGAGCCCTTGTGCTGAGCAGGTGGGTGCTAGGGCACGCCGATAGGTAACATTAGGAACAGGGGTTGAGCCCAGACTCCTGCTCTCCGCAGAACTGAATGGCCTGAATCAGGACTGCAGCCGTAGTTAGCTGCAGCAAAAGGGGCACCCGATAACTCACACCAAAAAACAGCTCAGTCCAGGGCGAAGTGCAGCACCCACAGCAACATCTCCCTCCTGAATGTAGCAGTTGTGGTGGTGCCCACCTTTTGCACGGGAGCCTAAAGGTTAGAGCACTCGTCCAGGAAGTGGAGGACCAGTAACTCATCTGGAGAGGACTCAAATCCACATCTTCTGCTTTCCAGGAGTGGCCATACCACCAAGCTGTAGCAAAGGCGGCATGGATTGCAATTACTCCTCCTCCTATGGAAGCTGGGAAGTCAAGGCTGCAAGAGCCACGGAGCTAAAAGGAGAACAAGCTGGATGTACAAGTCCTGGCTTCTAATCCCAGGGGCTGGACGTGTTTCTGATTTTTTAACCAATAACTGCCTAATGGAAATTGCAAGGAATGGGAACCCAGGGAGTGCCCTCATCACTGGGTTCCTGAGTCCTGCTCTTTAGCACCCTCTGCTCTGCTCTTTTCTTCTGGCTTTGATCAGCGTTGCAGTCCTCGCTACTGAGAGACGCAGCTTGCATATCCTGCAATCCAAAGATTTGGAGGGTTTTTTTTTTCTCTTTGAGATTGTCTTGACATCTTAAGATAAAAGCCATTTTCATGGTAGTGTGACAAACGTCTTAGCAGATAGAGTGATGTCAGCAGCAATTATGGCATTGCAGTATTTCAGCTGATAACTGCATATACATTGGTGTGCTTTATTTCCTGCAGCGGGGTTGATAGACACAGGGTCAAAAATGCAAATCGGCTACTCACAGTAAAGGAATATATGGGGTAACTAGCAACCTGTAAGAGGTTAGAGTATAGTGGTTGGTTAGAGTTAATCTTTATAGGTCTCACAAAGACGGTAACGACCAAAATGTACCTGATCACCCCAAAGACGCCCGCCCTAGACTCTCCCAGGGATTTTTCTGGTCCTCTCTCCAATGGCAGATGTATGCACTAACACAAAATGATCTCTTTTACCCCCAGGTGGAAGGGAGCCGTTATCGACTGGAATGGTGCTGAGCCCATCTTATGACCGAGCTGACCCTGGACTGCAAGCACAGCGCGTTCCTGTTCCCACCAGTAAGGGAGAGAGGGCAGGAGGCCTGCCCAGTTATACAATTTACAGCGCGACAGAATGACAGGCTGCGTGCCGGCCGGCGGGAAGAAAATCCCAGCGTGCTTCAGATCGGCCGTCCACAGCATAAACACCATCAACACGCGTTCTTTGCCACTGCCTTGTATGTACAATGCCTGAAAGCAGGAGCCACCACTGCCAAATCGTGCGTTAGGAAACAATCAATAAAACTGTCATCATCTGCTCGAGCTCTGCTTCTGGATCTCTTCTGTATCCTGCAATTGTTTCTACCGATGCAATGAAAGAAGCGGCGGCCGCATTTTTTTTTTGGATATTGCCTTTGCCCTTCCTCTCCCCCACTGTCCTGAACCCAGAAAGCCAAGCCATAAAGGTGCAGCACTGCTCAAGGGATACATTAACATCTCTCACTCATTTTCATTGATCACGTTTTCCAGTGCATACATCATCAATAGTATAGGGAGGGGGTAGTAAGACAGTCCACACAAAGATTTCATACTGGTATAAGTGTCAGTAAGGGGTGTGATTTTTGTTAACCGATATCATTATACCAATATAACTCCTAGTTTGGGTGCAGTCCTGATAATATGAAGGTGATCTACAGTGATCTAGTTTATTTTCTTTCCGATATGGGAATAACCTGTGGCAGTATACTTTTACTTCTAAGTATACTAATAGAGGACAGTGGTGCACCTTCACAGTTGTAAGAAAACAGAACTATAGTATCTGGCTTTTAAGAGAGACACATCTGTGATAGGTGATACTTCTTACAGATAAATAAAATGCACATGCTTAAATGTTATATTCTGGCGATCTAGCCAGAGGCTATCAAAACCACAGCTCAGATTTCAAGAGGAACCACTTTGAGAGACATATTTATAGCTAAAACTTGCAGAACTGGATCAGATTGGTCAAAGGACGATTCGAGCAGATCAAAGTAACAATGGTATTTGGCAACAGGAAAGTGGTTTTCGTTATCAAATTTATCACTATCTCTTTGGGAGCAAATATCAAAAAGGACATTGTAATGTGATTTTGTATCTGCAAAATGTTGCCCTCCCAATACCCAGTCTGCATACTGCCTCCTTTCATCCACATGAAAAATTTAGTTTTTTGTTTCAGATTTAATTTTCAGAGTAAAATTTAGTTATCTCTGGGCCAGCTGTAGCAGACTGTCTAAGTATGCAGAAATATGCATGAGCCTTCAGACTCTATCGCTAGTTATCGCAGGTGATAACCTTTACGTGAACCAGAAGAGAAATTATTTTGATTTTAAAAGTCTTTGGACATACACCCTTCTCTCTTAATGTTTCCAGTTCCCAAGGCGAGAAGCTGTTTCTGTTCGCAGAAAGCGCCTCGGGGTCTTGGCTGTTCTAAGATCAGCACGTCCAGATCCAGACTTGTGAAATCAAAAACTTTTCTTAAGGCAAAGAAGAACAAGGAGTGAGCTGAGTCTAGCTCTTGCTCTGCCACAGATGTATTTTACAGGCTTTGGCAAGTCCCTTAATCTCTCTGTGTCTCTTCTTATCTACAAAAATGGTGATAATTACACCTACCTCATAGGGTGGTAGCAGGTGATAAATAATGTTTGTGATTGGGGGTGTTTTAGGGGGGGAGGTGTGTTTTTTTTGTCTGGCACTGCAGAAGTGTAACCGGGACCAGATATAACAAATAATAATATAACAGAGGAATACAGCTTTATGGCTCTCCTAATTTGGTAAAGCCAGATACTTGTGAGACTTAGCGATACAGCTGGTATATACACTTTTATATACAGCGTCAGTCCTGAGAAGCCCACACCGCAGGAGCACATCAACGCAGGGAGAGCATCTGATGGAGAGCACAAAATGGTTTAGTGGCAGGGACATTTGGACGATTGTCAGGCCATAAGAGACAATTGCTGCGTGCTAGGGAAGAGCAAGGCTAAGACTAAGGGTAGGAGGACTGTTTTGGTTAGATTTGGGAGGTGTAAGAAGAGATGAGATGAGGTTTGGAAAGGGGAAGCATAACTAAGCCTTCGAACCTCTGTGTATTTCTCCAAACCCAGCCGAGAAGACAATTGAAGTGCCTTCATCACTGGGTGTTTGTGTCCGTCATTTCTATG